GTGCCCTCGTCAAAACCAAGAACACTGTCTTGGCTCACATCCTATTATAATCTATCCGAACCAGATCATTATGCACAGGAAATCGTTGTCACATCTCTCGCAAAAAATGGCAAGGTGTTTTTTTCAAGTCTACCTTGAGGTAAAGTATGACGATGATATGCTTAACGTGGCGGTAGATGTGCTGCCCGTCCTCCAAATAATAATGTGCCGCGTGACGTCGTGCACCGACAAGGCGGTACGTACAGTGATTAACTTAGATGTAACATGTGCGGCAAAATTTAAAGCTTTGGAAAACAACGCGTATTTAAGTTTGAATGATCCTTCATCGAAGCATTTAGCTGCGCAATTTAAACTCTATTCCTGATTCCAAAGTAAACGGCATCACAGTACGCAGCATGAATTTATTATTGTACGAGGCACATGATTATCCTTTTCATAACTTCTGGCAAAATACTTTGGTGAGAAACATACTCTCAACGGTCTCAGTATGGATAGTAGGGGTGAGATGAGCCATCTTGTTCAGACAATTCACAATACGATTCCACAAGGCCGGTAACACCAAATGCGTTACTAAACGATTAAAATTTAAACTTTGCTGCAAATCAATCGCCAACTGCTTGTCGGGATGGTGGGCTGGCTTAAAGCACCGACGCAAGCTTTAATAAGTTTACCACTGCGCGAATTTTGTACGTGCTCACATACATTCTCAGCCGTAAATACATGTTGATCTACCAGTACATCATACTCATCGAGCAAGATGCCTCTTTTTCTTTCTTGCAAGGCTGCAGAAGTTTCAGATCCAGAACCATGCTTTGTAGCAAAATACAATCTTTGTTTCGAGTGATTGAGTCATGTAAGTCACAGATCATACCAGACAAATACAATGAGCTCATTGCGTGCTCAATGATTTTTACGAAGTATTAAAAAAGAGAGCGAGTTCAAGCCATCTCAAATCCCCTCATCCAAAAAAGCCATCTCTTTGTACCGGTTCTCAATGCCTGGATCCTTGGCATCTGCGACCTTTCGGTGCATCTGTACTTACATTGGCGCCCAGATCGGGCCAGTCCTGGACGTGCCGCATCAGCTCATTCTCAAAGCTGTTGATCACCTCCATGCTTTTGGCCCATTGTCCAGATTCCATCGGGACCCTAGATTATATTTTATACTGGTCTATCTAGCCTGACAGAAGGTATTTGAACGTAGAACTTTCCATCCTCGCATAGAAATCAGTCTTTTCGCTACCGAGTCGTGAAAATTGACTACAATCGTCACTGAGTGCAACGGCTACCGTGCACTTTGCAGAAAGGAAGTATTGCTTCTCAGAATCCGCGTTAATCAGGATCCGGACCAGAGCCTTTAAGTAAATCGAAAGTGTAAATTCGCTCTGCGGAATGTATGTACAAGAAAACATATAGTTATGATTGATTCAGATTAGGATTAGTTGACTAGCCAACAGCCCTTCCCTTTGTCATCTCTCTAAATGCCGGTATTTGGCCTTACTGAATATTCACAATTACACCTTGGGGATGTAAATATACCAAAGGATAGGAACACAAGATAATAGTACTTACACTACGAATTTTACGAAAAGACTACAGGGAACAACGTGATTTAAGAAATATCTGTTGCTGTTGTGATAGTCGTTGTATACATCTCAAGTCAGCTTTTCAGCTGCTTGTCACTTGTCAACGGCATGAGATGGCAACCAGTGATGCACTGGGTTTGAGTACAAACCATAGCCTATACTATAATAATGTCTGATTTGATTTGTTAGTCCAAGAAGTGGCCATCTTTCGTGTGAGATGTGGTGATAAAGGTGCTATACGCAACAGCATATGATCCGTATAGAGCACAAATGCTTCAAGTCAAGCAGGTATACAGGCGCATAAGTGATAGCTAGCTGCTCCTTGCCATGTGTGAAATTTTTCTATTCTGCTTCTAAGGCAAGCGAGTCTTAAGTGCGATGGCCATCCTGAGTAAAAAGCAGCCTGCGGCAAAGAGCGAAGCGTCACAGGCGACATAAACTTGGTGGTCTTCCTCAGTTGTAAATTTGTGAAAAATGGTAAGCGCTATTCAAATTAGCTTCTTAAAGGAAGTTGCACACTCATAGCGTCAAAAAGACCATTCATCTTTATTTTCGTTGCAACACAAATATCACAAATATTATTTTTTATATACACTTTCGTACGCATAGTGTAGAAACCTTCAAGGTACACTCTGTTGTTCGCGATTGCTGATAGCCAAGGGACCTACCTACACAGAGATAAAGGTACCGTATAGTTACTGAAGGTCTGTTGACAAACTGATTTCGATTTTGTTTTAATAGTCTTGCAAAATGAGCAATTTGATAAGCGCTACTTGTCTCGACCACGAATAAGGCTATAAACTGAAACCTTGTCGTTCTTCGTACCATCGTCGCGGCCTTACTCTTCAGGGTCTTGGTTCTGCTCCTTGCAAAACAAACAGGGCTCATTTTGTCCAACAATCGAAGACATTGAGATACGACTTCGTATTCTTATAACAGCTTTATTAATACAAAAAGCATTGGAAGTGACATGGTCAGAAGAGGGGAAATCACACATAACCTTCTTTTCATGACGTCAAAAAATCCAGGCTATGATGTAACTCTTTTGTCTGCTCACCGTCAAATTTGACGTTGGTCGCCTGAAATTTCTGAAAGTGTGGCGCTAATCTGATAAGTACTCAAAATTATCGCACCATTCAAGATACATATGGCATCCGTCGAGACAATGGTAGTTAGTGTGCTTGTAAAATCCCATTCACTTCTAAACCACGTGACGATGCCGTCTGCGTCAACATTGAAGCGATACCGCACAGATATTACCAACATAGCACCAATGACTTTCTGAAACAACTTGACGTTGCTATGATGCGCTGATTACACGCCGGCAGCTGATGTGGAGGTTCGTTTTTACATCAAACAACTGTCGATTCGACAACAGTAAAAACGTCCATGGAGAGAGATTCGTACTGGCTGAAATCGCTGAAGTAAACAAAGCGCTTTGGGCAATTGCTACCCCCGCGTACTTGATACTGGAGTCATAATGGAGAAGGAGTGCCTGTCATTGTGGTAATGTGGGATCATATGCTGAACTTGAGAGTCGGAAGTCCTCCTAGATGAGACGAGCATGTAGTCCACCATGGATGTCTCGTGTACTTGAACGGTTGCGGCCTTCCACAGCTTATGATCAAGCTGCTCGATATTGGCTAGTAGTTGCTATTCATCGTATGCAAGTATCACAAATTTCTTCTTATGCTCGGCACGGTGACGGCGATGGTGGAACTTGCACTGCTAAGGTCAACGCAGCACCGTGTCGATTTTTAACGTATTAATGGTGCGTGGATAGTTTGTCATCGGCAAAATGTGGTACGATGGATACGGCGATTGCGGCCATTGCGATGCTGAAACTCTTGCTTGTTTCTAAAGTGGTAGTACTTTAGAGACGTAGAAATTTAAAAGGGTTCTGATCGACACATCTAGAGCGTAAAAGTAGACTTGACTCACCCCTTCATAAGCCCAAAGATTGGATAGCCTTCGATGGGGCTGACGCGATCAGTTATGCGATACGACTTGAGGGCTGCAGGTGATGCGCAATTTTACGGTAAGAAGCAATAAATTAAGTGCTTTTATCCAGACGAGATTACTTTTTTGAAATCGAGAACTTTAAGAGATCGTAATACAAAGTGTTTCAAGGCAAGATTACGAATTGACAGTGATTCTTGGAGCGTCAAAGGGCTCGCTGTATGATAAAGATTGTACACACGCTGATTTCGGGACTGTGTCTATTTACAACACTACGTCACAACCCTTTTCCAGACCGACTCTCACGTTTCTACTAAATTTGCAATATCTGCTTGACACAGCATCAAATACCCCTCCGAATGAGTCACAGCTCACGATGAGTCAAGACCCTTCACTATATGCGTTGGAAGATAATGTTTGCTTGATATGTATCGGTTGCTTTTTTCCCACAGAAAGACTCGGCAGCACATCACTTATGTCATTAAAATCCACCCTGGCTTGAGTAGCTTCTCAGAGCAGTTGACCGAGCATTTTGAATAGAAAGACTGGAGCTGATGAGTACGTCGGGTTTTAAAAGTGCGAAAAGTGTGATTTTCGTTCATGAACATGTCCCGAATGGATCCAATCTCATGCTCAGCACTCGTGTATTTGTCTTGGTGTGTGGACTATCTAACGACGGCTACACACAGGCTTAAGAAGCACAACAAAGCGCTGGGATAGTCAAATTTGAATTCGCTAAATATTTGTAATCTCGTATATGAGAAATAATACCGATAACTGTATGAATATACAATGACATAACTTCTTATAAAATAGTTGTCAGTAAGCAATTCGTGTGTAGATGTTAAAATGACATTTTATTGCTTTGCATTCGAAACAGGACCCTCTCTACAAATTAGTTGTACGGTACAGTACAAGCCAATGGTATCTATCATCCTGGCCAGATAGGCTTGATGCTCTACTGATATGTCTATGTCTGGCGTCTGTGCCACCCAAGGAATGACAACTTTGTTCTTCAGTTGGTGTATCACCAGTTTCTGAGTATGCTTTGAAGCAGCAATACCGAAAAATTTTGTGTTTATGAGTTTGGTCATCGAAGCCTTACCACACAGATGTAAGTTACCACCTGTCGAAACTGCCTCGAAAACGTACGAAACATATTGAATGGGAGGCTACGCGTCAACATGTCCAGGAGAGCAAGCCGATGCACTTCCATATGCACTCCCGCGACGTGAGAACAGTAAAATCATGCGTCGAAGATTTTATTCTTCTATTATTCTTATCTGCGTTTTTATTTAACAGCTCATTTTGTTAAGAGAATAAGTCAACATCGTCAACAAAAACGCTAACCCTTCCAGATCGCATCTCACTCACTGCAACTTGCTGAGTCAAACGTGTCTATCCACTCAAATATTCACGACTCTAACCCGAACCGTCCTCATTCGCAGTTCAATTTATGCAATTTGCAAAGCCATTGTCGTCCAAATCGCAATGGTGTCTGCATCTGTCTTCCATCAAACGGGCGGCTCTCGAGCATATGAAACTTTCACATCTCGTGGGTGCTCACACAAAAGAAGACGACAGACAGCCCAAAAGCTTCATGAGTCAGAACGCCCTGTCGTACGCCAATTCTATGATCAAGGCCCTCGACAGCGCTGGCACGGGCGACGAATTCAGCGAAAAAGTTCAGCGACGCCGACTTCAGTACAAACTCCATCAGCGGCACCACCGTGCTAAGCAAAAAGAGAAGCTGGCTCAGCTCGAATTTGAGGTGCAACATCTGACGGCAGAAGTCGACATCCTTCACCACGAACGTCAGAGTTTTCTAATCCAGAACAATTGCTTCGAATCGCGAGGCACAATTGGAGGTAGGCCGGCCCACGTAGCAATGGAATACTTTCGTCTATTTCAGGCCAGCGCGTTTTCGACACATCTTGACATGCAGGAACAGTTCCTGCGTTCTGTCATGACATCGGATACTAGAGGTCCAGACTATGTCGGAGTGGACACAATTGTAACACAATGGCGTGGCTTTTGTAGTTTTTTTGCATATTTGAGGTACAAACCATTAACTATCACTATCACGACAGTGGGTGAGCTTACGGTCATTGAAGTCGACTCCATTTTCAGCATTGGTGCGCAGCGCGATGGCATTATCGCGCTGTATCCCTCGCTAAATGGTAATACGGAGCTCTTGCAGAAACTTTCAGGTAATGTTATCAATGTCCGAGTCAAGTATTATTTCACGTTCGACTCGACCGGAACTGTCACGTGGTTTAGCGCCGAGTGGGACCTCGTGAATGCGCTGCAGCAACTGTTGGATGATCTTGATGATGTTAACACAGTGCTTTCCGGTGCTAACATTTCGACATCCACGGGCCAGCTCAGTGTCGAAAACATTCACGCAATAGAATCAAAGCGTGCAATTGACCCTCGGCTGGACGTGAAATATCTGCTTTCTTAAATTTCGTCGCTTTATCTTCGAAGTTAATAAATTGTAGAAACAACGACCTGATACGCAATCGTTTGGTATAATGTCTTCTTAATAGGCCTTACATCTAATTAAGACAAGCGTCCTCTGCCTGGTCGGTAAATTTCACGATTGCTGTTTGATAAATTTATCACTTAAAGAATCAAGGATTCTTAATATTTGGTTTTGATAAGCCTGTTTGTATTTATAGCAATAAAACTAAGGTTAAATGCTAACAATATAAGAATAGTCTTCGGACAACCAAACATGTAACGGAATTACACATACCATGGTAACAGAGGTGTGTGTTACACCAGATGGGCATGGTCTGACCACACCCAAACAAGAATACTGTACGGGGCTAGATAGCCAGTAGTTATACATGTATTGAGATTTTACTTTACATCACTAGAAAAATCTATGCATATAAAATAAAGGCAGCTTTACCGCAGATAAAAATAAATTAAGCAGCTTTGGATTTAAACGGAAGAGTTAATTTGCCTTGGGTTAAGGTTGTAATTACTCTTGGAGTAAGCGGATTGCAATCCGCTAGACTCGTACTTTTTCTAAGTCTAGAACGAAAGGTCGGTGACTGAACTTACACTTCCTTTAAGCGCAAAGCTACGGCAGCCCCGCTGCACTTGGTAGCATTTGTAGTCAATCTGCACCTGAGTCGTCTAGAATGATCCTCGTTGAGAATAAAAATGCTTTCCTCTTTGCCCCAGGGTATGCAGAACGGGCTTAAAAAGCTGATGTCCTTGCTTGACCCTGAGGGCGTGCAACACCTTGTTGCGCAAGGCCTCGAGGCAATCGGTGCGCGTCTAGAGGCGATTTCGAGATTTGAAAACGCGCTGCTAAAGCACCTGCGGAGCCGCTCATGGTGAGCGTTTAGGTCTTCAGAGGGAGAATGGCGAGAATATCCTGCTCTGGGGGAAGAGGTCGAGATGGCCATCGCACCCGCCATGCCCCAGACCGAGT